ATGCAGTTTTTCATAATTTTTTTGAGTATTTAATTATAGTGGTTTAAATTTGTAGTCTATATTAATTTATAAAATATTTTTATACTTTAAAACCAGTTTTTTCATATATTAACATATAAATTTACTTTAACCTAGTTTTTAAAGCAAATGCCTGCACTAATTCTCAGGATTTTTATAATTTAATATAATTTTTTATAATAATCCTTAATTAATGTTATCATTCGATGTGGAAGATAATATTGTTATTTGAACTCACAAGGAATGTAATGATTATTTACTGTTTTTTACTAATTGCAAAGACACATAAGGTAAGGTATTATTGAAACACAATTTGTTTCATTTTCTATTCATATTATGTGTTTTGACCATCTGTGTAGTCTTCTTCAGATTATAGTAAATAAAATGCATACTATAGTCTGAAGAGAGCCATGCAGATGGTTTAAACACTTAATATGAATTGTGAGATCTGAAAGGCCCCCGGGTCTAAAATAGTAATTTTATTACTATTGTTAATATTTTGTTATAAAATATTCTTTCGTTTGGGTGAGAAAAATAACGTTTTAGAGTGGGAAAAATAGATAACAGATGCTACTTCCTTCTAGGGAAGTTAGAACATCCTCTGTTTTTCCCTTATCTGCGAAAAATCTTGCTTTGATGGGAAATGTTTACCCCTCACATATTCCCCTTTCCGTCCGTTCCCACGGAAGAATCTTTGTATGATGATTGGTCGCTGATCGTCAGATATAGAGGAAATTTATCAGAATTCGGGGAGTTCATTGACAGACCTGGAAGAGTCAGGACTCCATACATATTTCTCCTGATGTCCAACGCCCTTAGACGAGTCACATAGAATAATTCCAGAGTTAGCACTTAGAAGATATACTTTAATTTTGTGCACATATCGATCTCCCATGGAATGAAGTTTGAGAACTGTATAAACGAAGTGCCTTTGCCAACCGATGAAGAAGACGAACGACAACTAAACCAGGTTGTATGTTTACTAACGATTTTGTAAGCTCTCTCTCTCGATCGTGTATCGGTTAAATATAAGTCCATATATCTCTCGACTTATAGGTTGTAATTTGTAGTCATTGTCTCTTACTACCATATATTTGTACTATTTTTTATTGGTTTATGTTTAATTAAATTTATTCTTGTTTATTTGTTAAAGAATGTCTCCTTTAGAGTCTCTGAATCAGATCTATAAACTAATCACACGCGTGTTTGTCCGTGGATCGAATAATTGACAAACTGGTGTCGGAACCTGACAAGATCTAGGATTTACCCTCTAGATTGTAAATAAACATTTTTCTTGCCCTCCTATAAAAAGTTACGAGAGCCGATCTCGCGATCGGAGCCCGTAAGTGGCAAAGATCAAGATCTTTGTCCTTGGCTACTCACAGAATAGAGAATAATACAAAATTGTGTTATGGTAGCACCTTATGAATCTTTGCAATTTCTGGAAAACAGGAAATAATTGTCATATTATGTATAAGTTTGAATTATTAACTAAATTTTATAAATCATGATTTAAAATGAAATTTGAAACTAACACAAGTTATAATAAAGTATGAGCTTTAAAGAAATTAGAAATTTACTAATAAAAAAATGGTGCTAATAAATATTAATATACATTGAAATACTAATAGGTTCAAAACACAATGAAATAAATTAATTATAAAGTACTTTAGGAACTTTTCTTATTATTTTTGAAGTAAATTATTGTAAATATATCCATACAATTTTATAATTTACTAGCAGATATGACCAGTGCTGCCTGTACAAAACTAATAAAGACAAATAGTAAAATGAAATCATATTAAAAGTTTGGTTATTTTCACTTGCTATTGTAATGTTTATCACAATTTCGAGTGAATGAAATTAGAAGTAGGATGTTCAGGTTTTAAGGTAGCCTATATTTTCCACTGGGTTCTAGAGAGTAGAAAAAACTTGTCCAAATTGATCAAAGGATTTAGAAGTATTATACAATATACTTTTTCCCAATAGATAATATTTATATTACACTAATGTTTTCAACATTTATTTAAATATCATCACCAGTCTACATATCCTACCAAACTTTAGAATAGGAATAAACTGAACTATATATTTCAAAAATGATTGAACATTTTTAATAATCTATAGTTTAAGCTAGTTCTATAGTTCATTTCTGTTTCAAATTATCTAATTAGATAACATTCTTGTGTACTGTACATAAGTCACATCATATTAGATATAAAATAAATAAATAAAAACACTATAGGACAAAGGAACATTAAATATTACTATTGATACATTACAGGAGAACTATCCATATGTTACAGTATCTTGCCTTCCACATGAGATATGTTTGTTTGGTCTTTACAATTAATGGATTTCCCGGTCTAAATGGTATGAAATGGCAGTTTCATTGATCAAGTAGACAGTATTTTTTCCAATATTAGCTGTAACAAACTGCTCCATTCACAGCCAAATATCAAATGGCATTCTGCCAATGAATCAAATTTTGCAAAAAATGGATTTTGCAAAATATTTAAACTCTTCACCCTCAAAAACCATTTGAAACATGTTTGTACTTGCTGGTAACATGTTGCTTGTATTATGTAATTTTACTATTCAAATGCCACCATACCACTGGGTCCAATAGGAAGAAGAGTGAGTGAGTCCAATAGGAAGAAGGAGAGTATTGCAAAAGGAGGTTGAAGTAAATTTGATCAAAAATAATAGTTGACCTCCTGCTGGAAGAGAGGATTGTCAACAACTACTACTTAATACAGGTCTACTATTAATATTTGAAAAGTGATTAGTGTTGGATAGGTTATGATGGTCTTGCATGTGATCAAAGTTGTTAACCTTAATGTTCAAAAGACTTCATATAAAATTTGTTTAAATAAAAAAGTTCCAAAAAATGTGAATATAATTGCTTTTATATTTTTCACCAGTTTTTTTTATAGCAATTAAAAAAACTGGTGAAACCAGGTTGAAAAAGTAAAGCTCAGAAAAAACATAAGTAAAGGAAACTTTTGAAACTTGTGACAAAGAATAGTGGATGCAGATTTGAGTGTAAGACTCAACATGTGTATAAAGTGCACATTACACAGACTACAACTACAGGAAATTTTGAATGAAACAATGTCATCATGATAATAAATAAGAAAAATAAACATTGGCACAGAAAAAGATTTCAAGCTCTACTTTGTGCCTTAAAATCATTGCATGTAAATTAATTTGGCTGAACATTAGAGCATCATTCAGCAGTATCAGTAGGAAGTTTGGGCAATGAGTTTGTGTTAATAAGGGGAGATGAAATCAGGGGAGGAGGTAGGGTGTCTAGGTTTTGTGGTAGTTAAGTATGTCCTTATAAATATTACGTTAATAGAAAAATTATTAGAATTGGTTTGGTTTATTTGGTTACAGCAATGCAACATGTGAGTGCTCTGCCAAGGATGATGCATTCTGGGAAGAGTTTTATGTGACGCTGGCTCCTACGTAGGTGACCTTACTAATGTGAAGAAAACACTATGTGGTCAGTCCATTAGCAATATATGAATCCACTACTGAGTACTGTTGGTCAATGGTTTTATAGACTTGATTATTGGTTATTGGGCTTCAGTTTGTTGATTTGCAATTTGAAAAAATTGTAGACCTATAAATTCCCACTGTCATCCATCTGTCTGTCTGTTCTTCCTCAATTTCAAGAATGGAGTTAGATAGATGAACATTGAGACCAGATATGGAAAGATTAAGAGTAGGAGACCCAGATTAACTATATATGAACTTCTGGCTTGGACAGGAAATCACCTTATTTCAATTCAAAACTTTTCCCCTGAATGCAGTTAGATACATAACCAGCACAAATATTGCTAACAGGAAAAGTATGATGTACAGGGGAAAACACCACACCACTTCACTCAGGCAATTGTTATGTGCTACCTGTCGCAGTAATGGTATAATAGTGCCTCTATTTTGTGCTATATCATTGTCGCAGTAATTAAGTGAACATAATATATATTTTTTTAAATTATACCTTTTTTTTGGTAAGAATTATATATAGTTTATTATTTTCTTATTTTTTGCCAGTAGATGTAAATCCAGCAAACCAAATGTAGACAGAAATTAATTGAAATAAAGAAATCCAATCAATATTTTATGGTGAAATGTACATCATCATCTAAGTTAGATGTATGTGAACTTCTGAGTTTCATAGCAATTGATTGAACACTGGGTGTGCATAGAGAACAAACAAACAAGCAACATCATCTTTTATATATATATATATATATATATATAAAAAATACGCCATAATTCGCAGGTGAATAGCCTCTTCTCACAGTTATGCATCGATGAATAAACTTTATACTGTATACCTGTTATAATCAAATATTCATTACATATACAAATCTGAAAATAGTTCAGATACGATCAGCTATATTTCATTAAAAGGAGTAACGAATTATGTTACGTAAACATAATTTAGTTATCCTTAATCAGGTGTAACGCATCACCGATTAAAAAGCAGAATCGCAAGTTTTTCTTTAAGGATAAATTCGTATGTTCAATCAAATAAAAATGATAATTTCATGCATAAACCACACCCAAAAGAAGGGCAAAAACTAATTTTTCGTCNATTTTATCAACAATATCGCAATTACTATTATTTTAAACCTACATTAAACCAAATTCTATTACATTATATCAATTTTATACATTTGTTTTCTGTTATTACAACTTACATTTGTTCTCTTTCTGTTTGTCTCACACCTCGTTTCCATTTCTTTCCATCGTTCTTATCATCTTTTGGACACACCCCTTTTTCTATAAATCTTAGCCATGATTGATGGATTTCTCTGCCATTATTGCTGTTTATTCTATTATTTTGTCTGATTATATACATATGTTCATAAAGCTGTCTTTTGTAATTATTCTAAATCTAGTACTAATATTACAAAAGTTTATTGCTAATATTCATTTATTTACTTAGTATTATGCTATGTATTACATGTTGTACTTTAAGTTAATAATAATGATGTCATATTGTCAGTCTAAAGTCTAAAGCATTGATATCACACTAACTCCATTTATAAGGAGAAATATATAAAATAATGTTTAAAATACAACAAAACAGTTTATGAATGAAAGTACAAACAAGAATTTTTTTTAAAATTTAAATAATGTAGAAGAAATTTTTTCTTCATTCTTCAAGAAACTTTCTTCTACATTAGTCTTCAATTCCATCATGTCCAATCACCAGGAACAAAATAATCTTCTTTCTCAGAGATGAACTTTTATTAGAGGCTTTGCCTCTGAAAAATTATGTAAAACAGTTAAAACGTTTACCTGATGATCATAATTGAAAAAGTCTTTTTTTGTTTTATTGAATTTTATGTCCATTAAAAGTTCTTTCATATTGTTTTTAGATTAACAATAAAATGTAAAAATAGCTCAAAATCAAAAATTATTCTGCCAAATAGTCTAAAGATCTGTGAACTTTGAATAATGTATGGGTTTTATAGATCTGTAAGATCTAGTTCTATAATCAATAATATCTTTTTGATATTAGATACAGTAGTTAGTCTGTTCATTATAATTTGTAGAATATTTAATTTACAAAAATAAATCTACATTGTAAAATGTAAAATTTTAAAATATCATTAAAAATGAATTAATGCATTTTTTTTTAATCAATAGTGTGCTAGTAAAGAGACTATAGAAACATTATCAGCATTGGAAATAGCTGAAATTATGACTTATTTAGATCATAAAATATTTGTTTCTATTAGGAGTGAGTAAGTATCAGGAAGGAATATTTAATTAATTAAAAATACTTAAATAAATTTGTAATTATTTATAGTTATAAGTTAATTTTTTTATTATTAACTGTAAATATTAATTTCTTTCAGTGAATTTTTAGGCCAAGCATGGATGAAACCAGAAAAAGCTACAAAAGCTCCAAATATACTTCTAATGACAAGACGATTTAATGATGTAAGTTCACTCAATATGTATGATTATACATGTGATAAGTGAAATTCAATTTTATGTTTTATATATTTTATAGGTGAGTCGATTAGTTGTATCTGAAATTTTAAGAGCTCCAGAAATGTCAAAACGTGTAGCCATTATTGAAAAATGGGCAGCTGTTGCTGATATATGTAGATGTTTACATAATTTTAATGGAGTTCTTCAAATTTGTGCAGCATTTATGAATAGTTCAGTTTTTAGACTGAAAAAAACATGGGAAAGAGTATCAAAAACGGTAAGAAGAATATAATGTAACAAATGTTATATATACAATATATTACCTATTAATTATAATTTTTAATTTTTATCAGAACAAACAAACTGTTGATAAACTGCAAGCATTAGTTTCTGCTGATGGACGATTTAGAAATATGAGAGATGCTTTACATAAGTAAATTTTGTTTATTAACTATTTTTACACTTCTCTATTTTTATTTTAAAAAATTTTTAATTTTAATAAATTGAATTTCTTTATAGATGTGATCCACCGTGTATTCCATATTTAGGCATGTACTTGACCGACCTCTCTTTTATAGAAGAAGGAACACCAAATTTTACTGAAGAAGGCTTGCTCAATTTTTCCAAAATGCGAATGGTAAACTCTTTTTATTTTAAAACTGTTTTTACACTACATAATTAATACCATTATTCAAATAAAAACTTTTAACATATATGTATAAACAACTCCATAAACCAGATTACTTTAATTGAAGCCAGATGATTGCTGAATTATTTGTTTATAATAATGCTAAGTTAATAATTAGATATGAGGTAATTTATCTAACGGGAGGTGGTTAGTCCATCATTTGAGATAATTTTAATACTTAATTAATTTATAATTATTAAAATTATTACAAGATGTTGACCTAACCTCCTACTTCTAGACAAATTATTTTGTATCTAATTATTAACTTTGCATCATTGTAGCTCAATAATTTGGCAGATTATCTAGCTTTACATTTAACACACATTAATCCATGCATATGTTTGCTGTTGTCAGTATTTATAATTTCTTTAGTTAGGGAGTTTGTTCATTTTGCATTTAGTTCTGTTTGTTAATTTCATGAGTGTTTTGCATTGAACATAAATTTACTGTTACACAATTGGAGTTCAGCTCAGCCTTAATTTATATTTACCTTCTTAATATTATCTTAGAACAGATATATAAAAATGAAACTTAACTTAATTAAAAAGAATTTGGATTATAGACTATATCTAATTAATGAATCACAATCATCTGCATGAAATAATTTATTTAAATCATATCAAAATTAAGTTATCATATGTAATTAATTATTGGTAATTAATTTTTCAATTTACTATTTGATTAAAATTTAATTTCTATGATATTCTTTTATTTGTAAGTATATTTTTTTTATATTGCTTCAATACAAACATCAGGTATGGAGCTGTATTAGGGACATTCATTAATTACATATATAGTTTAAGGGGGTGGTGAAAAATAAATCATTGTATACAATGGAAAGGGAGTGAGTTGAGGCACTTTCTACTTTAAGTTTTTTTTAAGTGTTATTAGTATCATATAAATTTGTTCTTAAAAGCCTACTTGTTAGTAATGTGAATTAACTATCAGTTTAAAATGTTCTAAAAATATTTTTTTATGTTGGGAGATCCATGAACTGTTGTACTGTACATGAAATTAAAGGAAAAGGGTTTATCAAAATTACATCATTGTACACAATAGGGCAGTTGGGTTCAAAAGTGGTTCAAAAAACTGTACATGCAATCACTAGACAGTCCCGTATATCAAAAAATTAATACAATATTTTTTTCTTCAAAGTCAATTCATTCAATCAAAATAAAATATATTAATAATTAAATGATCGAACTACATTACCTATCAGGCTATAACTTTGCTAATCAATTGTAGAGATATTATATAATTTGGGATAAAGGTGATCATGCCATCATCATATATTAAATGTAATAATTATTAATAACAGAAATAAATAAATTAATTTAGACTGTTTTGGAAGAAAAAATTGATCTAGAATGGGTCTTGAACTCATAATTTCTGTTTATCATGCAGATGCATTGCCAATTATGCTTCTTGAACTTCTGTTTGATCTTTGCTTCCAGATTAATTAAATTATGAGATATAATCACACAGCTCACTTACTTGATTTTACACATATATTGAAATATATTAAACTTTGTTTAAATATAACATTTATATTCACATATGGGTATTTAGTAGAATAAATTAGATTGGATTCTCTATATGTGAGTATAGAAAACACAATCTAATTTAATGTAGTATACATTTATACAATAATTTAAAAAATATCATAATTAAAAATAAATATCATGAGTTTAAATGAAGAACTGATAAATGAAAAGATTAAACTTATATTTTTTAACATTTAAAGTTTAATTAATAATAATAATAATTTGAAGAAAAAATAGTTAATTTTAAAATAAAATTTTGAATTAAAGTATTATAAATAATAAGTTTTCATTTATTAACATTTTAATAAAGGAATAGTTTTAATTTTGTAATAGAATATAGTAAAATAAAAACAGAAAATATAACAAAAGGTCTTTAAAAAGAGTAGTGAAAGCTATTATAATGATTACTCTGTATTTAAGACAATGTAATTATTTGTTAGTTTAAAATTATTAAATTATTGTTTATTTTAAAAAAAATGTATGTAATTGTAATAAATCATATTTTAATGAAAATGAACAAACAGCCAATTTGAATAAAATTTATTTTTTAACATAAAAGTTTTTAATTGTAATTAAACTGTTTATTTTTCTTAACTTAGTAGGATTCCTTAAATTAATTATATGAGTGATTTAAAATTGAGAATGCAAACAAATTTTATCAAAACATTTTTTTTATAATTATTTATTTTATGAATATTTTTTATAAAGTTCATATTATTATTAACTTTCATTAAAATAGAGAGAAATAATAATAAATAATAATATGTATTAAAAAATCTTTCCAATGTTACCCGTTATACATCGTGGTTTTAAATACAGAACATATGTATCGTATAAGTGTGACAATTTTTAATATTGCACTGAAGAGGGGCTTAGCATTTATATAAGCCCGAAATGCATATGTGAAAACAATAAAGAAGTGTCTAACCTGAAAGCTGTAATGATAGTCTACCGAACTTAATTTTGGATTAAAGAGACATACATTTATAGTTCATAGTAAATAATAATAAATCTTGGAGGATAATGTAGTATGTATAGGAGTTTGTTGAGAAAGATGAATTTGAAATGCATTTCTAGAATAAAGATGCAAGTATAATTAATTTTTCCCAAAACTTTAACAACCTGAGTGCAAAGTTTACAGTGAAAAATGGATAAAATAGTAGTGTATTTAAATATAACACAGTAGACAATTTAGAAAACAAGATTTTAGACCATAAATTCTTTTAGTATTATTTCTTAGTTAAACATTTATAAATTAGCAAAAACATTAATTTTTATTTAATGTGTTATATTTTTTTGAATCAAGCAATTTAAATTTGTTTGACTTTTTATATCATTACTCAATATTTAATTATTTTAAAGGCAGCAAATATAATTTATCAATTTTTAAATTAGTCATCTGGGTACAAGTAAATAGAATTAATGATATTTATTTAACCTCAATATAAAATATTTGATGTTATTCCATTAGAATTATTTGTCTCAGAAGGAAACATTACAAGAAAATTTTATTAACTAATTTAATGTAGACAATATATATAATTTAATTTTATTGCAATCCAATTTGGAATTTATACCAAAGCTTTATCAATGATTTACAATTTAGAATTTTTATTCAAATTTCAAATAGAATAATGTCGACAAAGCCATTTTATGTTTGTTTATTTATTTTTTGTTTTAATTAAGACATACAATTTTATGAAAATTGAGGAATAATGATTTATAGAAAGATGTGAATTAATGAATAAAGAAATTTCAGCATAGTTAAGATTGTTTATTATAATATTTAAGATAATTTTTGGTTTGAAAATACAGTAAAATATAGATTACATATAGTGGATATAAAATATATAATCAAATCTTGATGTAGCACTGCCATTTGTTTGCTTCCAAAATTGTCACTAAATTGAATGTGGCACTAAATCAAACAACAAAAATTATTAAAAAAAAACAATGAGGTCTATGCACAAGTTTGAAAGTTCAAAAGTCACATAACTTGGCAATAATGCCCTTTGCAATGCAAATTGTACATATAGTAATTCTTAGAGACCAAAGAATTCTCTACTTGATATCTAAGATGATGCATTCATGAATATTCATTGGCTTTTTATGAGATGATGCTATATGGTAGAGTGCTATGTTGAGATTTGATTGTATGTATGTGTTAACATGCAAGCATAATATTTTTTCATTTTTTGATTCTATGATCTAGATAACAACTAAAATTTTTATAAATTATATTCTTTATAGATTCAAAATTAATAAAACTTCTATAAATTATTACAGATTGCTCATGTAATTAGAGAAATTCGGCACTTCCAGCAAACACCTTATAAAATAGAGATAAATCCAAAGGTAAAGAAAATTTTAATATGAAAATATTATACAGAAAATAATGACATATGCTACATGTAATTATTAATTTATATAAAATATTAATTTGTGTTTATAAATGCTAAAGTTGAGTAATTTTATTTACAAATTATCAGCATTTTGTATCTTATCCTACAAATATAAATTTGATGTAAATGAGTTTTAGTAATTATGTATTATTTCTTTACTTCTATGTTTATCCAAAGAATGAATTTTTAAAATGTGTATTTTTATAAGATGATTAATTATATAACTTAAAAATGAGGCAAGACATAAAGGATAGTTTGGTTATAATTCTTAAAGTAATGGTCAATGTTAGAGGAGATTTCTGAAAAAAAAAAAAAAAGAAAAATGCACAGAGAATTAAAAACAATTCGTTTTAATTGGTTAATGTTTGTTAAAAATTGATTATGTAATGTTGAAAAGTGTATTAAAGACTGAAAATTTGAATAAAATTAAAAAATTTTTCCAACTGTTATAAAAATTATTTCAGCTGTATTTATGAAATGACCTGTTGATCCTATTTATTGCTATTAATTAATGGTTCTATTTACAATGATGATTAAAGTTTCTCTTTATCATTAGCAGATCCGTAACTAGCCATTCTTGTGCCCTATGCAAGAATTTGCATTTAGGCCCCTTAATTTATTTGATTTTGGGAAAATAATAAAACAAATACATTACAATAGATTTTTAATAAGATTTATTTTAATTGAATTTTTCTGGCTTTCATTTCAGCAAATTCATTAATTACACCATCATAATTCATATTTCTAACAATATTGTATTCTATTGAAATAATAGAAATATTGGATAACGTTCTTGTCTGATAGTTGATCTTAAATAATTTTTTATTAAGTTTAACTTGCTAAAACTTCTCTGGCACGAAGCAATAGAAACGGAAAGAGTTAGAAATATTCGAAGAGCAACATTGATATTTGGGTAAGATTCAATTAAACCAAAATCACCAAGAGCCTGTAGACTATTAAGCGGAGATGCAGTTTCTATATTTTGTATAAGAGTCATTACTTCAAAATTAAAACTTTCAATTTCACTTGTGAATTCATACTTTTTTAAATCTTTGCTATATTTAATAGCGAGATCTGCAGCCAATTTTTTTAAATCAGCAAACTCGTGCATTGTAAAGACGAACCACAGAGAAAGCAAAAATCGTCACAGTTTTCATTTTTTCATAACACCAATCTATTTGACACAATAGTGTGTCAAGAACACTGTAAATTTGTATTTTAAATAATTTTTCGGGTGTCAAGTTACTTCCTTCATCTGGTGTTTTATCTATTTCCAATATCTTAACTTTTGTTTTTTTTTATTAAGAAATCCCTTTTCTATACTTTTTGGTTTGTTTTAAGAATATGATCAATAACAGCATCTGTTAATATTGTTGGCCATAATGCTATATCATTTATTACTTCCATGTATCTATATATATCAAAGCGTTTTTCTGGACTATTTCTATCTTCTGCTTTTTCGCAATCCCTTTTTACAGTAGCATTTTAAAGACTGCGGGAGCCCTGAAAATGCTACTGTAAAAAGGGCTCTACGCACCCACATAGTTCATTTACCGCTTAATCCGCCTTTCATATATACACCACATATGCGTACCACTATAAAGCAAAAAATGATGTCAGAATTTCTTCACGCTTTTTACAACCTCGAGACTAAGATTTTATTCGGGAGTTACTGTTTTCAATTTAGTAATTTTGAAAAAATTCTCGGACAGATTTATTTTTGTTACAAAATGTTACCTTTACAGATTTCTAGCTCTGCACACTGTAGAAAAATCTAGAAATACAGTTTTGTATATTGTAATAATATTAGTAGTTGCCAGAGAGCTCTATAAACTAGAGAAAAATCTGTAAATTTGAAAACTATAAACATAAATTTAAATTTCTCAAAAAATAAATTAAAAAATCTCAAAAGTCGCTACTGTTGGCTGATTTGTCTGAGGTCTCCGCTACTTCACTATGTCCCTCTAAAAGTCACCATGGTTGGGAACACTGGTGAGCAGACATCTAGGGTCTAAGTAAGGTGAAATGTAATCGCCAAACTGCGCTGTAGAAAGGCAGAAAAATTAAAAATTTAAAAATATAATTTTTTGTGAACAGCAGTTTGGGCCCCCCCTTCCAAGAGGGCCCTGTGCGGGTGCACCTGTTGCACCTGCCTAGTTATGGCTCTGATCATTAGTGAAGTGAAAATTTTTCATTNAAAATTTAAAAATATAATTTTTTGTGAACAGCAGTTTGGGCCCCCCCTTCCAAGAGGGCCCTGTGCGGGTGCACCTGTTGCACCTGCCTAGTTATGGCTCTGATCATTAGTGAAGTGAAAATTTTTCATTATGAAAATTAACTCAATTTTTGATTAAGGCGACACAATTTGCCAGATTATATTGTGCCATAATATGGTTAATATTTAATTATTAAATAGTAGCCATATTATAGCTTGATGTTATCTTATAGATCATTTGGCCTTTATGAAAATATCATGACCATTGCAGAAAATATATGGTAAATGATGAAAACTATATAACATGGAAATTTTAATGACTTTACTTAGTGTAGCAATATTAAATTTTCTATTTTGCATTAGAAGTAAAGATTCAATACAAAAATAAATGTTCTCTGCCATCAGGATTAAAGTTTTAAATTTATTTAAATTTTAAAATTGGTTGATTCAGTTAAAAGAGCAGTTTTCACAGAAAAAATTGCTTGTTTAACAATTTAATTACAACATAATAATATCACATTAAATTGCAATTTGTGTTTTATCAGTAGCATAACAAGGGAGCGGCCCAGGTCCCTCGGTTCCCTTATCTTTGTGAGAATCATGTATATACAGTATTTAAGGGTTTATTCTTTATCTGCAGTTGTACCATTGTGGATGTGGTCACTAGCACTTTATAATTTTTGTTACAATATTCAAATTTCTTTGTATTGATTCTAAGAACGATTTATTATTTATTTTCTTGCTAATAAATAAACATTTAAAATACAGTGCTTCAAAAAGTTGCAGAATAGTACCAATAATATGCATACAATAACAGAATAACTGAATTTGTTGTAAAATTACTTGGGAACAGATACTGTGCAAATAATAGACTACTTATGGTTAGGTAGAATGTGTGACTTTAGTGTCAGATGCTACTTTGGTGCACATTTATTTTTATTGCATTTCAAACAAATGTAATTGAGTAGAGAATTAACATAAAAATTTTGTATTTTGTGTTAAGAAAATCATCACACAGACATTGTTAATACTTCAGCAATAATATAGTAATGCATAAATGAAGAAGCATCAGCTGTGCTGTGTGAGGTGTATCATTTTCTTCATCAAACATACATAATTGTCATGATCTGCAGTGACAATTAACACAGTATTGCTTGACTTTTTAACAGCACTCAGCACTTTTGCAAGACAACCATCTATAGCCAGCACTAGGTGCTTGATTGAGACAAGCATTTCCGTAATGACTGTGAAAATGTTGATGTCTTTTCTCAGGCTGGCCATCAACTTCAACAAATAATGCAGACATTGTCAAAGTTTCAAAAACTGTGAAGAATAACAGAAGAAATTATATCTAAAGTCTAAATTTCTATTTGAAGTTGCTTCCAAATTTTGCAATGTTGTGACAAACACAAATGTTTAACAACTCATTGTTTTTTGTGTTGACTGTTGGTGACTGAAGATCATCAAGAAATGTAAGAATTTTTGTCATTAAACTGATTAATATTAGATGCCTATTTTTCAACTAAATTTCATTCAAAATAAGATCTGATACTTTCTTTAGACTCACAAAGTGTGCTAGCATGACTTTGAGAAATGGAGAAAAATTATTTTTCAAAATGCTTCCTAGACGTTTATAGTTATTGGAAAGTGTACATAACAACCAAAAAAATTACAAAAATATAAAGTATTTTCACCAAAAATATAATTTGTAGGAAAATTGAATTCTAGAACTTTTTGAAGCTACTTCTATATATTTTTTATTCAATTGAATACTATTATGATTATGCAGTTTAAATCAATAATTTTTATATGATAAAAGCATAATTTCTCTTTTATTTCTTTACTTTTTAGGCTGTTAATTATCTTCTTGACACTAGTCACATGTTACCAGATGAAGAATTGTATCAACTGTCTCTATGTTTAGAACCAAGGCTATCAAGACTCAGTACTAAAATTCAACCACCTTCAGTATCCACCAGCCAAGGATCATGAAGATGTTTCTACATTTATCTAGTCGACACCCAATATATTGTTCTTTCCGTCTCTGTAATTCTTTCTTCTCTCTACAGTGAGAGCTGGATGTGTTTTGCTTCCAGGCATTGTCACCCACTACTAACAATTCTTGCACATTCCCAAAACACTCCACCATCTTTTCAGGAAAATTATTTATAAATGAAATTTCACAATATAGGATGATTGGCTTTTAATGTTCTGAAATGTTTTTCCTCCCAGTGTTTTTCATAATATTGATCTATATTGCGTGATTTGGATGGCAGATTCCCCTTAAAAATACACGCAGATGTTAGATATAAATGAAATTAAACTGAAGCAAATTATATATATGTACAATGATAGACATATGTATGCATATATAATTATATATGTTATAATTATATATATATATATATATATATATAAAAAATACGCCATAATTCGCAGGTGAATAGCCTCTTCTCACAGTTATGCATCGATGAATAAACTTTATACTGNATATATATATAATATATACATAAGTATATATATATATGTAGATAATTAGCTAGATAGTTATAAGTAGACATATTAAACAATCTTAAACGTGCCAAAAAAGTGTCCTGGCAAGACTAAAAAAAATTTCAGCATATCGGACATGTATGTGTTTATTTTCATCGTTAAATGTTTGATTTTCGAGAGAGGTGAAGTTCTTGATTGTTTACAACAATTTAACAATTCTCTAAGGATGCTAATGATCGAAGACTGTGATGAGAATTAGGTAGAAAAGTAGAAAGATAGTAAAAAAAAAAAGTAGTTAGGTCATATGAGAACATGCTGTACATAAATATTATAAGAGTTTGGTGTCAGTGCCTTTGTTAGTTTCCCTTTTTCCATGTGTGGTTACTTGTTTTCTTAGATATTATGTTGATGTATCACATTATCACCAACTAATTCATCTGGATCTTGAAAGATATATCAATATTGTTTACTTTCAGGAACTGACGTAGCTCTCGGAACAGGGTACTTTGTAATAATAAAAAAAAATTTACTACTAAAACATACAAACGGGTCCAGATGTCTTAGATTGTCACACACACTTCTATGTAGCTTCTTCCACTCAATATGTACATTTTTAAGTTGAGATTGGTGTAAATATTCATCTAAGTTATCATCTAGTAGTTATTTTTTACATTTACAATCATTCAATAGAGTGAGTATATTTTGTATTATAGTTTCCATTTTTTTTTTTTGTTTCCTGCTTTTTGTAGTAGGTGGTTTGCATAATTCTTTACCTTAGTATCAAATACACGTTGTATACTTTTGAATACCATTCCCTCTTTTTAATGAATTCCAGAATGGATCTAACCAATAATATTTGGTCAATATATTGTCTCTTTATATATGACAATGATATGACGTACATTACGTCATTCATACAGCACATTAGTACAAACGATCCCACTGTTTGGATCTGCAGTAATATATATGTCGTCGTGAATTTTTCACCTTTCGTAATTTTCTTTTGCTTACTTTTCTTTATCCTTTTGATTTTTGTCCAACTTTTCTAGTCAAAAAAGGCTCATAGACTTCAATTTCTAGATTCAGAAAATAAAAATTTTAGTAAGGGGTCAACTCCAAATTTTACCACAGAACATTTAAGAACATTTTAAATTTTCTTTCTATCCATTTAGAAAGTTCAGATTCACACAACAAACATAGTCCATTCACATAAAAGAGTTTAAAAAAATATACTTTGTTAGAAGCTTTATCAAAAGCAATGTTGTACAGTGTTGTTAAAATATATAACTTTGTTCTAGACGATATCTATTGAAGGCGAGAAGAGATTCGTATGTTAGAAGGAATTTTACGAAATGTTAGATTATCCCATTTTCATATTTTAGTATATTGGTTGCCACGTTCTATATATAACTGTTGAAGTTTGTACCGTAATTTAATATCATGTTAATTGGTGCCTCTTGTCTACCTGTGATTGGTGAAGAGTTATCATGTTTAAAGAATGCTGCAAGTATGTTGTTCTGACCTATCGGGAATGGTCGCTGAAAAAATTTAAAAAATATATAAATATATATAAAATATCCAAGGACAATCAACAGGTCGACAGTTTGATCTGTCGAGAGATAGAAAGAAGAGATTTGAAGTCTTTGCAACATCTGTGGTGTGTTATTTTCTCCATATCTGCATCTTTAACTGTTGTCTGAATACTAAAAAAAATATACAAAAAATAATGTTTTACTTTATTGTAAACTGTACAAGTGTGCATGTGTAACATGTGAAAATTTTTGAATTTGCTATTTGTTGTGTACTTCATGGAAAAAAAAGAAACTTAAAAAAATTTCTTCAAAATGGAAAAAAGAAAGATAAAAAAAATTCCTCTCTGATGTCTTTCAGAAATGAAAATTAAAATTTTAATTCATATTTTCATCAAATAATTTGTGTTTTATTTTTTTAATAATTGTGTTTTGTGTGTTGATACCTTATTATAAAACATACTAAAACACAATAATTTTTAAAGATAAGTTAAAAGATTCTTATTTCAAATATAATCATAAATAAATATTTTGTATTCTTAAAGGTATCAGTTTCATATCTAATTAACATAATTTTAGTCATCATCATTAGTATCATCAGTTGTTTCTTCAGCATACTGAAATTTTATAGGAGTTACAATATATTTATCTGTCAGTTCTTGCTCTACTGTTCCTGTGATTTTTTATTTAAGATCATCTGATTTTACTTCATAATTTACATCATCAGTAACTTCCTTCTCATCTTCCTTTCTCTGTTCTCTGTTGATGCTATCATATTTTATCTTAACCTGTTCTTGATCATTTACTGAATCATCTACATTTGCATCAATCAAATCATTATTTTCCTTTACATTTTCAGAAATTTTATCGCATTCTGATACTTGTTCAGTTTCTTCCGTTTCTGTACTATAACTTTCTATGTTAGAAGTAGTCTTATCACGCTCGCTGACACTACCCTCTACTAATGCCTTTGATAAATTCGAACGTACAATAGACAATTCTGTAAAATTTATCACATTAATTCTGATACATAAACATTTAATTTAAACAATTCCACTTACTGCCGCCTAATTTTCGTTTCCAAAAAACTTTATATAAAGGAAGAATCAGATAAGAATAAGCCACACCGGAGCCATTTTCTGAGTACATCCACGATAACAGACAACACTAGAAAGAAGCGCAAGGACATTATCTAAGTCTCAACCACTTAAACACGTAACAAACTTACTTTTAATAAGTAATACAACGGGAAAAAACTGTTTATAACAGTCGACGATTGTCCTTCTAGTAACACAATTAAAGAAAATATTATCCAGTAATTTAACAGAACGAAATAATCCTCCTGATTTCCATATTCTACAAGATAAATGCTACAAAAATGTTTGAAAATAAGCCAAAAAACTTTGAATCTACAGAATGACTCACCTCTTAAACGATGGATATATGATGGCCAGACAGTTTGCCATTCTCTCCGACGACGTCCCAGTTAAGAAAGACACTACTAAACATATTAAGAACACTACAAACCATACATCTCTGGATATTCCCGTACGATCCTCGAAAATTCGGAACGGTCTAGTAAATATATTGCAATGGTTAAGACGTTCGATCAGGATAGGCCAAGATTGATGATCATTAGAAGTCATCGTATACTATTATTAATACCAGTTTTTTGATAGTGTTCGAGCCCAGTACATTGTTCCTTTTCTATTATTGCACATCATCCATTCTTTGCTACGAAACAACAACAGAAAAACATTAAAGAGAATGTGTGTATACGTCGATTGTGGTACGATACGCGCTCACAATGCATTTTTATAGTAGCAGATGTCTTCTTTATTACCTATTAGCAACATTTCATGACAAATGTATCTCGGATGTTGATTGATGGATCTACTCTTCAACATCTTTCCCGCTGATAGTTATTTATCATCAAGTGTGGGAACGTATATTAATATTTCTGACAGCTTAACATTTTTATTATTGACACTCTTATAGTTTTTGATGTAATTTTAATGATGTCGGCCGATTCTAAATTTAGATAAATATATAATTATATTTTTAAATGACGTAAAAATATTCAATTTTATTTTATTTTTTTTTTTAATCATATTTTTTAAATCAATTATGGATCAAGTTCAAAATTATTTTTGGAAAATGATTTATCCAGAAAGATTTAAGTAGCTCATTTAAACGACATTATTAACAAATGGGACCAACTCTTTAAAAACTCATTTTCTCTTATCCTATTTTTTTTTATTTTTATTTTAAGAAGACAATAGATGTATTCTTATATGTTAGAAGGTTTTATATACATACTTATAATATATTTATTTATTTATTTATTTAAAAAGTAAGAAAATGGAATTGTGAGACAAGTAAGCAAATGGCTAGTCTTTCCTAGTTTATTTTATTTTTCTTTTCATGTTGTGTTGTTAAAAAGCAAATGATGACTCACGGTTGGAGTGATGCCAGGAGGATATGCTCTCTTCGTATCACGTGATGGCATAATTCAATCATTGCTCTAGATTTTATTTCTTTTTTCTTTACAGCTTCTAAATGGTGAAACAGTCCCACAAATAACACTCTGAAGATATGAAACCGTCCACATATTACCGGAAACATTTTTCTTCTCCTTTGTAATATATATGTGATTTTTTATTGGATTTTTTACTATTAAAAACTTGGCTTATATGACGAAATTTACCATAAGAAATTATTTATCTAAATTAACTTTATCGAGAGGAGGATAAATGGGAAAGATTCTTTCTTGCCCCTGCGATAACAGCTTCTCCTCATTCAAACGAGCCGTGCAGGGAAGCATCCAAAATACAAATTGGCTTTATTACCATCTCATTTACTTCCAATCTCTATAAAACTGATTAAACTTATATTGTTTAACAAATTGATTAATATTTTAAACATTTTACGAGTTTTTGCGATTATATTTAACATTTAAAAGCGTATAAAATCTTTTAACCCCTTGATACTTTTAAATCACTATTAAACTCATTTCACGCATCTAATTGAGACAATTATTATATGTTTGAAAAATAAATAAGTTTAAGTAGTCATAAAATACGTTAAAATAATTATTATTCCATTTATTAATTTTTATTATTTATTATCAGACATCTTTATTGCGATCTGGAAAAGCTTTAGTCTGGCCGATGACGTAATTTTACTATTTTAGTGACGAAATGACGTCATATCGTCTGGCAGACATAAGCATCCTAGACGTTTTGGTAGAAACTTATATTTTCTCAGCAGTATTCTGAGTCTGGCGCCTGGTAGTCGGCTTCGCTGCAAACATCCATCAACTCCTCCACTGCTTTGATTGTGCTGCACCTGACGACAGAGATCATTGTCCCTTGAAAAAGTGCCCTCTAAAGAAACTCACTACACGATTTTAAAATTTAAATGTAAAAAAAAAAATTAGATAAAAAATAAATTAAAATTAAAATTAAATGACAATTAAGAAAAATGGCGTTTTATATTTATCACTTTTTGCACACGTTTTAGTCTTTAATAAATGATTTTTAAATTTAAAAATAAAACTATTTTATTTCTAATTTTTTTCCCTTTAAACAAAAGAAACTTTAGTTTGAAACAATAACCAATTTTTGTAAAGAAAAGAATTTTTTTAAACAAGCATTTAATAAGAAGGTTGGGAAGATGTGGAGTACCAGGTGTACGTGTCCAAGTGGTATATGCAATAAAGACAACAAGAGCCTCCTTGTATGTCACTTCAATACCTATCCGGATCAACAAACAGATCCGTTGATCACGGTCTGAAACGAAAGAAAGGTCGATACAACCAGAGATATTCCAGACCGCATTGAGGATTTTCGATAAACCAAATATTTCTACTTTTTTTTAATCCAGAATAAAATATATTTAAAAATAAAGAAAGAAATAAATATGTGTATATATGTACGTATGTATGTATGTATAAAGAATGCTGCAAGTATGTTGTTCTGACCTATCGGGAATGGTCGCTGAAAAAATTTAAAAAATATATAAATATATATAAAATATCCAAGGACAATCAACAGGTCGACAGTTTGATCTGTCGAGAGATAGAAAGAAGAGATTTGAAGTCTTTGCAACATCTGTGGTGTGTTATTTTCTCCATATCTGCATCTTTAACTGTTGTCTGAATACTAAAAAAAATATACAAAAAATAATGTTTTACTTTATTGTAAACTGTACAAGTGTGCATGTGTAACATGTGAAAATTTTTGAATTTGCTATTTGTTGTGTACTTCATGGAAAAAAAAGAAACTTAAAAAAATTTCTTCAAAATGGAAAAAAGAAAGATAAAAAAAATTCCTCTCTGATGTCTTTCAGAAATGAAAATTAAAATTTTAATTCATATTTTCATCAAATAATTTGTGTTTTATTTTTTTAATAATTGTGTTTTGTGTGTTGATACCTTATTATAAAACATACTAAAACACAATAATTTTTAAAGATAAGTTAAAAGATTCTTATTTCAAATATAATCATAAATAAATATTTTGTATTCTTAAAGGTATCAGTTTCATATCTAATTAACATAATTTTAGTCATCATCATTAGTATCATCAGTTGTTTCTTCAGCATACTGAAATTTTATAGGAGTTACAATATATTTATCTGTCAGTTCTTGCTCTACTGTTCCTGTGATTTTTTATTTAAGATCATCTGATTTTACTTCATAATTTACATCATCAGTAACTTCCTTCTCATCTTCCTTTCTCTGTTCTCTGTTGATGCTATCATATTTTATCTTAACCTGTTCTTGATCATTTACTGAATCATCTACATTTGCATCAATCAAATCATTATTTTCCTTTACATTTTCAGAAATTTTATCGCATTCTGATACTTGTTCAGTTTCTTCCGTTTCTGTACTATAACTTTCTATGTTAGAAGTAGTCTTATCACGCTCGCTGACACTACCCTCTACTAATGCCTTTGATAAATTCGAACGTACAATAGACAATTCTGTAAAATTTATCACATTAATTCTGATACATAAACATTTAATTTAAACAATTCCACTTACTGCCGCCTAATTTTCGTTTCCAAAAAACTTTATATAAAGGAAGAATCAGATAAGAATAAGCCACACCGGAGCCATTTTCTGAGTACATCCACGATAACAGACAACACTAGAAAGAAGCGCAAGGACATTATCTAAGTCTCAACCACTTAAACACGTAACAAACTTACTTTTAATAAGTAATACAACGGGAAAAAACTGTTTATAACAGTCGACGATTGTCCTTCTAGTAACACAATTAAAGAAAATATTATCCAGTAATTTAACAGAACGAAATAATCCTCCTGATTTCCATATTCTACAAGATAAATGCTACAAAAATGTTTGAAAATAAGCCAAAAAACTTTGAATCTACAGAATGACTCACCTCTTAAACGATGGATATATGATGGCCAGACAGTTTGCCATNACGATCGAACTAATCAACACGTAAACACATTTTAATTAAATTTATTTTTGAAAAATTCGCATTAATATACTATTTACATTATTGTCTATAACATTTTCTTTGTTTATCATAATTGAATTTAAGTAAAAACAATGAATTTCATTTTGTAAATTGAACTTTATGGTTCTCTCCATTTCTGACGTCAACGGCGGATTTTCCTCCTCCTCCTCCTCGTCTTCTTCTTCTTCTTCTTCCTTTTCCTCCTCCTCTTCTCTTAGCTATAAATCATAAAATAATCTTTAAAATTTAAGAAGAATTCTAAGTGAAGTATGAGTAGTTGGATAAATTTCGTATAATTTTACATTTAAAAATCCCATACAAAAAATTATATATGTGTACATAATGGTGATAGTTTTAAGTGATGAACTGGGACGAGAGAAAGGTCAATAGATACTCATCGTACTCAAACACTTCTTTATATATTTGTAAGCTTATATAAACCGCTAGAAAGTTGAAAAATCTTTTTGAATGATTATATACAGGGGGAAAAAAGAAAAAAAAACGGTGGAAAAAAGAAGAACCTTTCACATTCTCTGGCACAACTCTTGTACGTCTGACAAATCGTCTTTTCGCCAATACTATTCTTTACACAGCGTCCTCGTTAGGTTATTTCATCGATCAACACAATTTTATACAGTGAAAAAAAATGGAAAAAAATTAATAAAATGGTTTCGCTTTTTTTAATTTTTTCCCAAATTTAGTGAGATTTCTACTAAATTTTCTGTTGGGTTTCTTTCAGTGCTTCAACAGTAATTAATCTGTAGTAAGACTCTTTATATAAAATCCTTAACATTGTTTCGTACGAGGATGAAAGTAGATAAAATTTATCAAATTATCGTTTATTTTCCCCTAAATTTAGTGGGATTTCTACTAAATCTCGTGCGGGATTTCTTCTCTAACTTGCAGCAGCATCATGTAGCAATTGTTAATTAATCTAATACTGTAAGCGTTGTTTACAGTGATATTTTATACAATAGAAGATTAATAAAATTAATTTTTGTTTTCTTCTGAATTTAGTAGGATTCCTACTAAATTTTCTGTTGGGTTTCTTTCTCTAACTTTCAGTTTCTCGTAACAATGATTAATTAATCTATGGTACTCTATACAAAAGTCGTCAACATCATTTTCTACAGGGATAAAATGGAAAAAATAATAAAATTATTTATTATTTTCGCCTTAATTTAGTGGTATTTCTACTAAATTTTCATGGGATTTTTTCTCCAACTTGCAGTAGCATCCTGATCAATAATTAATAAATATAACACTATAATTTATGCAATGTCCTCTACGCATATTTATATAGTAAAAAACTGGAAAAAGTAGTAAAATTGTTTTTATTTTCTTCTAAATTTAGTAAATTTTCATTAAATTTTGTGATATTCTTTCTTCTCTCTCTTTAGCATCCCGGATCAGCAATTAATTAATCCATTATCATTCTTTATACAGCATTCTCTTTAAGTTATTTTATCGTTTAGCATAATTTTATACAGTAAATGCGTAAAAAAGTTAATAAAATTATTTTTATTTTCTCTTAATTTAATGGAATTTCCATTAAATTTTATTAACTGTTTCCTATCTCTTTGACTGTACAGCATCCCGGATCAGCAATTAATTAATCCATTATCATTCTTTATACAGCATTCTCTTTAAGTTATTTTATCGTTTAGCATAATTTTATACAGTAAATGCGTAAAAAAGTTAATAAAATTATTTTTATTTTCTCTTAATTTAATGGAATTTCCATTAAATTTTATTAACTGTTTCCTATCTCTTTGACTGTACAGCATCCCGCATAATAAATTGTGCTTAATAAATCCAATACCATTTTTTATACAACACGCTCAACGTAATTTTATACAGTAGAAAAATAAAAAATAATAAAATTATCTTCATTTTCTTCCAAATTCAGCGGGATTTCTACTAAATTTCTACCAGTAATGATCTATCTTTTTATACACGCAGCATCCTCGACAATTCATTAAACCAATACAGATTTTATACAGCATCCTTTCTAAGTAATTTTATCACTGAAAATAATTTTATACAGCGAAAAAACAGTAAAAAATTAATAAAAATTTATTCTATTCTCTTCTAAATTTAATGAGACTAAATATAAATTCATCGCATCCTCTCTGTTTCTAAGCATCATCCAGATCAGCAATAAAATCTATCCACAGCATCCTCGTTAGAGCAACATTTTCTACATCAGGAAAAAATAGAAAAATTTATAAAATTATTTTTTTTTACTCCCCTAAATTTAGTGGGATTTCCACTAAATTTGTATTCAGTTTCTCCTCTCTTTCTAACCATGCAGCATTCCGGATCAGCAATTAATTAAGACGAACGAATCTGGTCGCAGGTGTTACTATCTAATTCTAACAGACGTATAAAAGGAGAAAGAAGGGAGAAAAAATCTCTTGTTAGTCTAGTCAGATTGTGTAAGAGAGTTTTAAAATGTTCTCTTTAAGAGTGCTTCCTCCATTGGATCTTAAATAAAGTTTAAGTACGTCTTTACCCCATCCGGATCCACTTTTATCCATACAGATTTTTTGAAACGACTGCTTAGATTTTTCTAAAAATAAAAATAAACTATCTATCTATGGTGCGAGAGGAATTTTTTAAAGAGTGGGAGATTCTCTTGAGATTCTCTGATTTATTTTACATTAAGTTTTTGTTATAGGATGCTTATAAAAATAGGAGAAAAAATATATATATAAACATATAGGAGTCATCTTGTGGGGAAAGCACTTTATAGAATTAAGACAGATTGCCTTCAGACGAAACTTTTCGTCTAGACAGAAATGTAAACTGGATGACTGTTGCATCTCTTTGATGATAAACAAATATATATATATATAATTTTTATTTTTAAATTATAAAATTTTATAGCTTAAATCAAATAATATGTGATGTATATTTTTAAGATTTAATTTTTAAAATGCTAATTTTATTAAGTAGTAAGTGATGATGTGTAAACATCACTTTACTACTTAAATTATAAAGCGAATTCTTAATAGTAAAACACGATTTAAAAATAGTTTTTACTGTTTTATTTTATTTAAAATAATGGTTACAATAATTAATAAGAATTATGTTTTAAAAAGAGGTTATAAAGAAAAATATTTTTAAAGGGCGTAGATGATGCAGAGGATGCAATACTTGAAGGATGTGGAAGATGAGATTATGAAGATGCAGATTTTCATCCCTTACATCTAGAAAAATGATAGAAATATCTATTCTTTATCATTTTTAATAATATAATAATAATATAAAAATATTTGGAGGATGCAATACGTGAAGGAATTCTAAACTTAACGGATGCGGAAGATAAGAGCACGAAGATGTAGATATTATCCCTTACATCTAGAAAAATGATAAAAATATGTATTCTTCATCACTTTTAATTATAAAATTAGAAAAAGATGCGGGGATCACATTTTTATCTTGTAGATAAACCCTTATCTTCCACATCTTTAAGAAAAAATAGACGTAAATATTTACCTTCCATATTTCAGTTTCTTAATTATAAATTAATAAAAGGATTCAGAATATAAAGATGCAAATTTTAATCTTACGCATCTTCTACATTAAAATGAGTAAAACTAGCTCAAAATATACGCAAATATTTATTTTTTATGTTCTATTAGAAAAAAAAGATGCGGAAGATGAAATGAAAATCTTCATATTTTGCATTTTTTTCCTAAATCTATAATTTATATGATATAATTTTATTTATCATTTTTTAAAAATTCGATTTATCTTTTAAGAGAGATGGGAAAACATTTTACTGATTCAAATATATGAAAAATGCGGTGGCATTTAATAATATGCGGATTCTTGACTTGTTTTTGCATTGATTGATTGTTTCCTTTCGTTCCACATAGATTTTTCATTCGACATTTTCAGATTTAATAAATTACTTTTAAGAAACAAAAACATCTATCAGCAATTGTTTAAGTAAAAAAATAATAATAAATATTTTTATGTATATATTTTGTATACATAAAAAATATTCTCTGATTTTTTACTGTCCAATGGGTGACTTCTCTATGAGTTTTTCTAGCGGAATTTTGCTTCACAGTATAATTTTTATAGCTATAATTTAATTTTTAAAATTTATTTTATAGTTTTTAAGCTTATTCTCATCGTATTTCGTTTTTAAAGTAGAGTTTTTATTGCCTGACCTCATCAATTTTAACTTAACTTTATCACTTTTTTAAGTATTTATTTCATAAAATTTTGCTTATATTTTAATTTTAATCGCTTCTTATATCAATTTTTAACCCAAAATATAATTTTATAGCTTTATATTAATTATTATTTTTATAAAAATACAATTTCAAATCATTAAGTCATTAAAATTTATCCTCTCATTTTTATGCTTTACAATATAGTTTTTACTGAATGAAATTGTTTCTTGTATAAATTTCTCTGCTTAAAAATATAATTTTTAGAGCTTAGAGTTACTATATTTAATTAAAAATATGGATTTTTAAACATTAAATTATTAGAATCTTCATTTTTATCTTTATCTCATTTATCCTTTACAGTATAACTTGCTCAAATCACCGAAAATTCCTTATACTTTTGCCTTCTACAGTATAAAATTACAAAATTTCTACTTTACTGTGTACATTTTTTAAAATTTTACATTATATAGACGGTTTCACTTTCGCATCTCCAGCATCCAAGTCATTAAAATGGAAGAGGAAGTGATGCGGAGGAGGAGGATGCTGAAAATAAATGAATTAAAATAATATAACCCTTTGATGTAAGAATAGGTGGAGTTTCTGAGTTTGTAGTAATTAATATAATCCGCCATAACTTAATCTTGTAGATAATTAAAGGGACATTAATACTTTCAGCTTGTTAAAATGAATAAACAAAAGTTGTTTCCTAAATAGAAAATCCTGACAAATTAATTCTAGATTTTTAGCGAGGGGGAAAAAAATTGTTTTGT